CTCTCTCTCTCTCTCTCACATATATATTCTATCCAAACCTGACCCCTGACCCGGGTCCAGTTGGGGTCCTGTTATCTCTATGGACTAATGTCCTTCTTATTGCTTTATTTACTTTTGTTTCATTTATTTTATTTCCCTTTTCCCCCAGTTTTCAGGGTGCGTGGAGGGTTGGAGGAAGGTGTTTTTATTTATTTTTTGTCAGAATCTTATTTATTTTATATGAAAAACAAAGTGACACATTGTGACTTCTTCAATAAAACTGCCAGACAAAGTAAAACCAGTCAAATACAAGAAGAAAGCAAAGAGTAGAGCTGTAAACCATCTTGACCTCCGCGTTGCAAACCACCCCTGATCTATACTTGATTTCACCGCTTTAACACTAGATGGCCTCACACACTGCTTCCTCTATAAACACTGTCACATACTGTACAATAACACATATCTTAGTATATTATGCATTTTAGTATAGTAATATTACAATATTAGTAACTAAATATCATTATAATTATCAATATTAATATAATGAATATACTACAGTACAATGCAACATAGTAAAATACTGTTATGTAAGTTATTAAGTATTGTTCTATATATTGTAAATTACAGCACAATTTATTGTAAAACACTGCATTAATGTCACAACATTATCCGTTGGGAACATTGAAGCTTTGACCTTTTAAACAGGAGGAGGAACGTTAATGAAGGAAAAAGGAACCATTAACTCCACTGAGTGAGTAAAACAATCCTTCGAGTCTGAGACACTCGTAGTGTTTCACCGTGGTTGTGACTCATTTCCCTGCTGGTTTCTTTTTTCTATCAATAATCTCAAACAAAAAGACGACTTATGCGATTTTAAAAAGTAATAATACACAAAGAAAAGTGCAGATTTTCCTTCAGGGACCTATTTTCTATCATTTATTAAACTGACTCAGTGACATATTTTATGGATATTTCATACTGTATTAGGACGTTTGTGTAAAACCAGAGGTAGCAACACCAAGAGATTCTCCATGAATTTTGAGCAGATTATGTTCCTGTTTATGTGGAACTGTTTATACAATTCCTGTTCTGTATTATCGATATATTCAGTAAATCAGGTCAAGGGTCTTCAACGGAAGAAACTCCAGTACAAGAACTTAATCTGCTTCTTTTTTTGGTTTTTGAGGACAAAATCTCATGTGTTTTATTGTCGGGTAGAAGACGATTCCTTACCCTATTTCTAGCACGCTTTAA